CCCCAGTAGCACAACAATATTGGTAAAATATTATATTTACATATTGGTTCAATGATGGAAACGTCAGATTTTTTTTTATTGGCCCAATGTAGATTTTTAATATTAACCCAATATTGAAATTAAATATTGTTCCAATGTTAGGAAATAATAAATGTGCAATATTTATTTGAAAAATACAGCCAATATTTGTTTTCCAGATTGGTCCAATATATATTTTATATATAGTCACAATATATATAATGTATACATAGGCACAATATCTTAAAGTATCCTACCACATTATCAAGCCTATTTCTTATCGACTTCCATAGAGTCCTCTGTTCTCCTATTCTTTCTAATACCTTTTCATTTCTAACCTTCTCCTTCGCCGCGCCTACTGTCCGTGTTTCGCACCCGTACAGCGTCGCGCTCTACACATACTTTTAACAACCTTTTTCGAATTTCTAAATTAACCGTTGGCAAGCATAGAAGTGACTTTAATTATTTCTATTATTCCTCCTCTCTTGTAAATAATTCCTGCTAGGAGAGGTAATTTCTGAAATTCTTACCATTTATTTTTTTAAATGACGCACCGGTAGACTGACAAACAAATTCTATTTTTACCTTTTATTGTAAGCAACCCTTAAAGGTAATAAATTTGGAAATATAAGACATACGTTTCAACAGGTCTTGCAAGTCTCATCAAACAAAAGCATCTTAACGTTTGTAGTTATTGTCTGTGACAATGATTTTGAAGAATTTTCTCCCTGTTATCTCCCTCTCTGATGGGAAAGGCTTAATTGACATTGTTTTCTTAACCGAAAAGTAGATATTGGGTATCAGAGGTATATAAAACCTTTATGAGAGATGTTGCTAACTTTTTTTTCTGTCTCCGCCGATTCTGTTGGGATTTCAAACAAACGATCATGATGGTTAACTTCTAAAAAGTTTTTGACGATTCAGCACGTACAAAATAAGGCAGTTTCAATATTATTTCGGAAAATAAATGCTGCTCCCTAGCATTTCTTTTCGACAAAAGCACGAAAACATCCCCATTTAATCGAATCCTCCTACACTTTCAGATACGCTGCTATAAGTTTTGCTACTGAACATTCTGAATGAAATAATCTTCCATTCCGAAAATAATAGTTAACGTAAACAACGTATAAATACTGAATAGCTTACAAATTCTATTTCCGAACCAATTTTAAATAAGCCATTTTGATATTAAAGGAAAATCGAACAAAGAAAATTCATAGTATTCCGTCGTAACTGAATAAAATAATTCGAAGTGGTCTGTATTGTGTCGAAACTGCCAGACGCGGATCGCGATTTCGATCCTTTTGGATCTCATCAGCGCGTCGTAGACAGCTCCGATAGAACACAGACCATCTTTTACCTGTCTGAACAGCGCGTTTTAGAAAATACCACAAAAGGCGCGGTAAGCGCCATCTGTAGTACGATGCTACATTTTAGGATTACGTATTAGGATTACGTATGCTCTACTTGCTGAAACGAATCCCGGCGTTAGAGTCCTCTGTTCTCCTATTATTTCTAATACCTCTTCATTTCTAACCTTCCCTATCCACGCTCTCTTCATCATTCACCTGTAAGATTATTTTTCGAACGCTTCTAACTTTTCTTTTCCGCCGCGCTCAATTTTTTAACTCCACGGAATCGTGTATAATAATTTATTATTGCTTTAATATTACTAAATTGATATTATATTATCCTACCTGTAGTAATTCAGAATCTGTGCGAAAACTCCCGGATGTCTATCAAAGAAGTACTCGTTCAAAATTGGATCGTAATTGGCTAAAGCTTCTGTCAAGCGGGACAATCTCGTTGCGGGAATTTTCTTAAGAGTGGCTTTATAAGTCTCGAATCGTATACCTCCGACATTCAGTATAATCCGGTTTTCTCCATCCATTACGCCATGGCAATACCATTACCACAACTTTCCTCTGAAATCAAAACATAAAAATTTAATTAACACCATTTTAATGAAATGACTTTAATTAGGTATAAAAACACTGTGTCTAATGAGACCAGACATAATTCAATTCGCTCATGATGCAATTCTGACAAATACAAATTTAAACGGTACCATTGTTGGTGGTGGTGTATAGTACATTAAACCATTCCCACCATAATCTCCCTAAACTTTTAGTGCATTGCACTTAATCATGAACATTTCACAATCATTTTGTAATGTGAATACCACAAATGGCGCGATAAACGCCATCTGTAATACGATGCTACATTTTAGGATTACGTATGTTCCAACAAGGTCCATTTAAATATATGGATATCTACTTACTGAAACGAATCCTGGCGTAGCTAACCACTACGTGATAGGCACGTTACCATAATCGAATAAAATAATTCGAAGTGGTTCGTATTCTGTCGAAACTGCCAGACGCGGATCGCTATTTCGATTTTTTTGGATCTCATCAGCGTGTCGCAGACAGCTCCGACAGAACACAGACCTTGTTGGAGCATACGTAATCCTAAAACATCGCATCATACTACAGAAAGCGTTTACCGCGCCATTTGTGGTATTTTCTAAAACGCGCTGTTAAGACAGCAGGTAAAAGTTGGTCTGTGTTCTATCGGAGCTGCATGCAACATGCTGATGAGATCTAAAAAGATCGAAATCGCCATCCGCGTCTGGCAGTTTCGACAGAATACAGACCACTTCGAATTATTTTATTTGGTTATGGTAACGTGCCTATCACGTTGAGGTTAGCTACGCCGGGATTCGTTTCAGCAAGTAGATATCCATAT